TTTCATGGGGTGGGAAGGTGGGAATGTCACGGCTACACGGATTCCTTTCCAGAACGTTCTCCCAATCTGGGTTTTTTTATCCTTTCTGGCTGTGTTTGAAGGGTTCCTGGCTGTTCTGGCTCCCTGGGATGAGTTAGTGACAGGAAAACAAAGCAAAGGCAGCACCCAGCACATCAAATCCCATTTCCAGAGCAGTGCTGGTGCCTTTTTTGCATGAAACTCTGAAGAAATCTCCTTTTCCTTTCAGAAATCCCCTTGAAGAATTCCCAAGGATCCCAGCTGAGCTGTTTGCAGCTCGGAGCTGATCCCAGCAGTACAAAGGAGCCTTAAACCAATCTTAACAGGGGAATTAGAGCTGGCTTAGTGTTGGTTTGCATCACTAGAGGGGTACAACGCCTGGAAATCATTCCCTGAAGCACCCAAAGTGGTCCCAGACGTCGGATCCATCAGGACACCACGAGAGCTTGGCACTTCCAGCCGGGAAGAGCAGGGAAGAGCCCTCTGCGTACGTTTCTTGGAGCTTCCAGGGCTCCATGTTTTCCTTTTCCTGAACCTTGAAGTCCCCAAGTCCTCCAGGGGACTCCGCGGTGCCGGGCCACGCCCTCAGACCTTGCTGGTCTGCATGTGCCCGTTGAACTCTGCGTTCCTCTGGGTCAGCATGGACTCCTGCAGGCGGCTGCTGTTCTCCTGCCTGTGCTCCACGGGGTCTCCATCCTCGGCTCCATCGCCCTTCCGCAGGCACAGAACCTTCTGGAAGCTCTGCTTGAAGTTGTCGGAGAGGAAGCCGTAGAGGATGGGGTTGGCGCAGCTGTTGGCGTAGGACAGCACCACCATGAAGAAGTAGAGCCCCTCCAGGACGGGGTCGGCGGGCAGGATGAGGATCAGGTTGACGATGTTCATGGTGTAGAAGGGCAGCCAGCAGAACACGAAGACCACCACGATGATCACCACCATCCTGGTGACCTTGCGCTCCGACCGGCGGCGCCGCGTGGAGCCCACGCGGATCCCCGAGGACTTGACCTTGACCACGATCAGCAGGTAGCACAGGCAGATGACCAGCAAAGGGCCGAAGAAGCCCAGCACCGAGGTGTAGATGATGAACGCCGCCGACCAGATGTTGACCGGCTCCGGCCAGTTCATGTTGCACGTCTGGAAGTCCTCCTGCACGTCCGAGAAGATGATCACGGGCAGCACCACCAAGAAGGAGAAGGTCCAGACCGTGGCACTGATGAGCTTGGCCACCCTGGGGCGTCTCCACTTGGTGGATTTGATGGGGTGCACCACGGCCAGGTAGCGGTCCATGCTCATCACCGTCAGGCAGAAGATGCTGGTGAACTGGTTGATGCCGTCCACGGTCATCACCAGGCGGCAGAGGAAGGAGCCGAAGGGCCAGTAGGAGATGGCGTTTTGGGTGGCCAGGAAGGGCAGGCCCAGCATGAAGAGCACGTCGGCCACGGCCAGGTTGAGGATGTAGATGTTGGTGACCGTCTTCATCTTGGCGTGGCGCAGCACCACGTAGATGACCAGGGCGTTGCCGCTCAGCCCCACGGCGCACACCAGCAGGTAGCAGATGGGGATCAGCACCTTGTGGATGTACTGGAACGGGGGCGGCTCCGGGAGCGTCCCGTTCTCCGTGGCGTTGGGCAGCACGGAGGAGTTCTCCTGGCCGGGAGCGGCTTCCATGCTGAACGCGTTGGGAAAGTGCAGAGGATCCATGGGGGGTTTTGTTTTCTCTCCGTGGTTTTTCTTCTTAAGAGAGATTAAACTTCACGGGCATCTTGTTCCTAGAAGGAAAATTCAAAGTTTGAAAGTTCAAAAGTTCGAAAATTTGAAAATTCGAAAATTCGAAAATTCAAGGATTCAAACATTCAGAAGTTCAAACATTCAAACATTCAAAAATTCAAAAAATTCAAAAATTTAAACATTCAAACATTCGAGCATTCAAAAATTCAAACATTCAGAAGACATTCAAACATTCAGACATTCAAACATTCAAAAGTTCAAGAATTCAGACATTCAAACATTCAAACATTCAAACATTCAGAAGTTCAAAACTTCAGACATTCAAAAATTCAAAAATTCAAATATTCAAACATTCAAAAATTCAAAAATTCAAGGAAAACGGAGACAGAAAGAGTGAATTCAAAGTGGACTTCTACAATCACTTCCATTTTCTGTTCTGTTCAGGATTTGGGGTTGGATTATTCAGCCAAGAAATGGGATCAATCCCAAACAAAGGAATTGCACAATGGGAGGATCCCCGTGCTCATCCCTGTGCTCATCCCTGTGCTCATCCCAGCAGATCCCAGGTTCTGTTTCGTTTTCACAGGATCCAGGGCTGGCGGTAGCTGTGATGGATTTTTCCCCGCGAGGGTGGAGAGGTTCTGGAACAGAATTCCCAGAAAAGCTGTGGCTGCTCCATCCCTGGAAGTGGCCAAGGCTGGACAGGGCTTGGAGCAACCCGGGATAGTGGAAGGTGTTGGGGTTGGAACTGGGATCATGAGAGGAAGTAAAACTTTCCATAACCATGGAAAACCCTTGGAAAAAAAATCCTGAGCTCCAAGCCAGCAAGGATCATGTCTGATATCTTCCCCACCAGGTCAGGGTGTGTGCACAGAGAGGGGAAGGAATAAACCCCTTTTTTTTCCATCTCTCAAGATTACTTTTGGTATTCCTGCATCCTCTCCTCTCACCTTGAACTGCTTTTTATCCCAAAAAATCCCTTTTTCCTGCAGGAAATCCAAGCTGCAGTGGGCAGCTCCAGGACAGCTGGAATAAATTCTACCAACCATTCTGAAAAAGGTGGAGAATTTCCAACTCCCCTTTCCTGTGGCGAGCTTGATTCCCAGCAATATTTTCCCACCTTTTTGTTGGAGTGGGGTTCAATTTATCAGGTGGAGAAACTTGGGAACGCCACCTATTCAAAAGTGAGATTCCAAGCACCAAATCCCACAGCAAACCCTGGTGAAGGTGAGATTCCAAGCACCAAATCCCACAGCAAACCCTGGTGAAGGTGGAAGAAAAACCCAGCAATTTTTGCTGCCGTCACCTGACGAGCAGATTCCCACAAAAAAAAAAACAAAAACCGGGGGTTTGGAGCTGGAATGACAAACAGGCAGCCCACAGCGCTGGAAAAACTCCTTGTCTCCAGGAGCAATCCGAAGCCACCTCCATCCATCAGGGCTGGGCTTTCTCCTGGGGTGAGAAAAGCTGGGGGAGACGAGGAGCCCCTGCAGCTCCCGGGAGGAATCACAAATGTGCCGAGCCAATTTGGGGATGTGCAGATGGGGAGTAGGTGTCTCACGTGGCTGGGTGGGGAAATCGGGAATTCAGGGAGAGCTGAGGGAGCTCCTGGAGGGTGGGGATGGGGCAGGAGGAGCTGGATGTGCTGCTGGAATATTTGGAGGTTAGGTGTTGGGAGCATCCCTGCGATTCCCAGCATCCCGTTGCAGCCAAGATCCTTATAAGTTAAACAGGAGTGGGTCGGAGCCTGGACAAGATAACACAGGAAAACTCCAGTGCTTGGATAAAATAACACAGGAAAAGTCCAGTTCTGGCTGAAAAATTGGAATTTTAAATACTGATCTTCAACTTCTTTTGAAATTCTGAGTTGTAGCAAATCTCAGATTATTTATGGGGGAATTCTGGGAGAAGCCGAAGCTGGGACCCTTCATTCTCTGCTGGGACGGGTTTGGAAATTCCCATTTTCCTGCTGTGACCCCGCTAGGGATCACTGAAGGGACGAATAGGAAGGGAAAACACACGGGATGGGGCAGGCAGGGTTTATTGACTCATATCCATGGAGCTGCATCCTTGGGATTGGGAATGTTCTTCCCAGACAAGCTCAGCACATCCAGGCTGGGCCCAAAACACCCAAATTTCCACCTGAGCCTGGAAAAAAATTGGAAGGTGTGGAAAGAAGCAGGGCTGGAACTCAGCAGGGAAGGTCAGGATGTGGCTTATCCTCTAAAAAATGGGAAAGGACACCTTTTCCAAAGTCCCCTTTTCCCACAGTGCAAATCCTTGGATTCAGGACTGGAGGAATTATAAATTACACAACAACTTCAGTCCTGGTCCTTCCACCACCTCTGGAGCTCAGGCCTTGGGAAGAGAAACTCTTTTCTTTGGATATTTCCAATTTCTTCTCCCCCTGGAGGAATCCTCCAGCCCCAAATGCAGAGGTGCGGATTTTTTGGAATATTTTTTGGTGGATTTTTGGATTTTTCTGGATTTTCCAACAGAGAGGAACTTGCAGGTTCCCTCACCAGCCAGACTTTTCCTGGCACCAGGGACACTTTGTCACCTCAGCGTTTTGGGGCTGTTCCCGTGGGTTTGTGGGAATATTCACCTTTCCCTCGGGATTTCTGTTCTGTGGGATGAGCTGGACAACATTCCCTGTCACCCTGAGGGGATTGGGGAGGGAATTCCAGAACCCTGGAATGCTTTGGGCTGGAAGGGACCTCCAAACTCATCCATGAGCATCTCCCATTATCCCAAACTGCTGGATAGGGACAATTCCAGGGATTTCCCAGGGCGTTTCCTGAGGGGAAATCCATTTCCTAAGGCTCTGGGGCAAATCCTCCCAGCTCTTCCCTGATTTTTTCAGCACCAGGAGGGAATTGACTCCATCTGGACATTCCCCATTGCCAGGATTTGAAGTCCCAACCTCCCCCAGATCTGCAAACCAAACCCAGATCCCCATTCCACGTTTCCTTCCCGCAGCCTTTGCCTCGCAGCCAGCAGAATTCCGGGATTTTTCCTGGAGAAAAAAAAAACCTGACATCTACAAATCCATGTTTTCCTTGGAGGAGCACAGGGAATTTTTTCCCCCTATCCAGGTGAAAATTTGTCCATCACCGGCACAATTTGGGCTCAGCTCCTTTTGTCACCACAACCCCGAACCTCCACAAAGGGTGATTAAAGTTGATGATTAAAGGTAATTAAGAGGCGCTGATTGATCCCTCATAGCCTTGTTTGGTGTTCTTAATTAAGGGATTAATAACAAACACGCCTCCAGGGGATTTTCTCTCATCCAGCTTTTTTTCCCCCCCTGCTTTGATTTCCAAGCCCCCACCCTGGAATTGTCCATAAATTCTGGATTTTCTGCATAAAATTGAGGAGCTGGGAACGTAGGCCTGGAATAATCACTGATAGAATTCTAAGTTTTAATGGAGCAGCATCCAGGAAAAAATCGGCATCCACAGCAGCTGAATATATCTCTGTGCCTGTTTCCCCCAAAAAAATCAGGGAATAAATAGCAGAGGTGTTATGGTGTTAGAATTTCACATTTGTGAAAACTCCTAAATAAACCTGGGTGAAAAATTAACAGAAGGATTAACAGAACAGCGACTGGAAAATCATGCCAACCTAAGGAAAAAACAACCGTTTAAAATCGAATTAAAATTCTTAATTTCAAATTAAAAATGCCCAGCCAGATCAAGGCTGAAGTTTTCCTTGGCTCTGGTCACAGCAGGAAAGCAAAAATAATTCCATGGAGAGCATTGCATGAGAGTGGGGCAGGGATCAGGCAGGAATTGCAGGAATTAAATGTGAATTTCCAAGCTGGGCAGGAATTAAATGTGATTTTCCAAGCTGGGTGGGATCCTGCTGCCTGTTTGCCTCTGGAATCATCACTCCCATCCACAAGAATTGCTGGGAATGGAATTACAGCAGGAGCACGGCAGGATAATCAGGGATAACACAGCCAGTGGGAATCCAGCCTTTCCAAAGTGTCTTGGGAGGAAAAAGCCCTGGAGAACTCTCCAGGAATTGTCACCCGGCAGCAGAATTCCCATCCCGTGGAGCTCCTGCAAGAAATCCCTGGATTTGATCATTTTTCCCTTTTGGAGCTGGGTGTCCATCACCTGCTGCTTCCTCGTTCCTGGTTTTTGGGGGGATGGAGCAGGCAGGAGAAGGAAGGAGCTGGGGACACCCGGCAGGGCAGCTCTGGGATAACCCAAAAATCCCGGGAAATTTGGGTGGGAGCAGCAGGGAAATGCAGCACCGCCCCGAGCGCCGCCGCAGCTCTGAGGGATGAAAATGTTCTGTACAATGCAGCAGGGACACCTCGCTTTTCCCATTCCCACCAGCCGGAGTGGAAAACATCCCAGGAATCCGTTCAGATTCTCCTGGAAAGGAACTTTCTCCTTGGACAAATCTGCCTTTGACGCTTCTCAGGGGGCGTTTGTTGCCTCGAAAAACCAAATTATGGATTTTTCTCTGCTGGAAACAAAACTTTCTCACATGGAATTTCTCCTCTGCTTCACTCTCTGAATTAGGACTAAGCACCGATCAGCTGAATTCCAAGTTCAACAGCTTCTTCCTGCTTTTAAGCCTAAAAAAATCTAAAATTATATATTTGGTACCACCTTGTCACCCCTCAGCTCATCCCAGGGTTTCCCAGAGCCCCTGAGAAGCTGCTCCTATTTTTTAGGAGCAAACAACTCATGAAATAACCCATAAACCCAAATCTTGGCTCAATATTTTTTTTTTTCTCCCCAAACACCTTTAAATCGTGCTCGGGGATTACTCACT